ATTCACATATAAAACATTCTTAATTTGTATGGAAGAGGTATTATCTATAGTGCCTATACCTTCAATGTGACCTTTTGAGTTATCACCAAAAGTCACCTCTCCTCCATTTTTGGCGTTGAGCTCTATGAATCGGCTTTTGTTACCAGTCATGTGTCTTGAGCATCCACTATCAAGGTACCATGAGTTTGAATTTGTTTCCCGTGCCTTGTAGTAATACTCCTTTTCCTACAAACATAGATTAATTTTTTATTTGTGGTACCTAAATTCTTTTGGATCCATATTCATTAGTTTCCAAAATCCTAGCCCCCTTAGGTATCCATTTGTGTAGGATAACCTTATTTTAGTAGTAATGAGTTCTTTAGGAACCCATATACTTCTAACGATTTTTACATTAGAGGTTCTTTGGGGACCTCTATGATTGTAGTTTCTAAAACTTTTTCTAACAAAGTTGGTTTTTGAATTTTCTCCTTTTTCAAAACATTTTGATCCAACTTTATCAAAAAAAGCTTTAAGATCATCAATTTCCTTTTGATGATCGTCATTGACTCTTGAAAGTAAATTTTCCAAATCAATATTTTTTCTTTTCAAACTCTTCTAGTTTGATTTGTAAATCATTTATTTTATTTTCAAGATCATTGTTGGTCTTGGATATGAGATTGTTTTCATTTTTCAATTTCGAAATATCATTTTTATGTTTTAAAAACAATTTCACATAATCCGAAGCCAACCCATTATATTCCTCTAATAACTCATCATAAGATAAATCATCTAAATCAAATGAGTTAGAGGTTATCTTAGAATCTTCCCCGAATGCCATCAAGCACAAGTTTGCTACTTCTTGTTCCTCTTCATCGAAACCTTCTTCATCGCTCCATGTAGCCATATGAGCCTTGTGCTTATTCTTTGATTGACCATTTCTCTTCAATTGTGGGCAATCATATTTGACATGCCCCGGCTTTTCGCATTCATAGCAAATGGTTGGGTCCTTCTCTTTTGGTTCATTTTTGAAGCCTTCATTTCGTTTGAATTTTCTTCCTCGGTTAGACCTCATCATTTTTCTGAACCATTTGGCAAACAATTTCATTTCCTCGTCATTGTTATCTTCATCCAAATCACTCTCATCTTTTGTGGATTTGAGAGCAACTCCAATATTTTTCTTCTTCTCCTTCTCCTTTGGTGCTTCGTCAATCTTATCGAGGTCCACCTCATCTTCAAGCATCATTTTATGAGTGAGGAGGGAACCGATTAGCTCTTCAAGAGTTAAGGACTTTAGGTTCTTAGCCTCGATGATTGCCGTCTTATTTGATTGCCATGATTTTGGAAATGAGTAAACTAACTTCCTCACAAGTTTTTCGTTTGGAATGATCTCTCCGTATGATTTGAGACCATTGACAATCATTGAAAATCTATCCGTCATAGCTTTGATATCTTCATTTGGTTTCATCCTGAAATTTTCATAGCTATGCGTTAGAATACTAATTTTAGATTCTTTTACCTCGTTCGTTCCTTCATGAGTGACTTGTAGTTTATCCTATATTCTTTAGCGGTTGTACATGATGAAATTCTTCCGTATTCATCTGGTCCAAGAGCACAAAATATGATATGAATGGCTTTGGAGTTGAGATGGAACATTCTTGTCTCTCATTCACTCCACAATCTTGGATGAGTGAGAGGCTTGATATATCCATCTTCTACAACATTCCATGCTCCCATGTCACTTGCTTGAATGAAATACATCATCCTATTCTTCCAATAGGCATAGTTAGCTCCATTGAAGAAAGGAGGCTTGTTGACGTGCATCGAATCGAGACCGGAGTCAAAGTTTGAAGTAGAGGCCATTGATGACTTGATTATCGATGTAACTCTTCCCAAATTGACTCGAAAGGCGATTAAACCTTCAAATCAGTGAGTCTCTGATACCAATTGTTGAGTTAATTGATCGATGGAATCGGCCAAGAGGGGGGTGAATTGGCAATTAAAATTTTGGTGGAAGCTTTTGCAGAAAATTGAAAGTAATTGCACAACGATTTAGAGTGGTTCAACTTTCTCAACCAAAGTCTACGTCCACTACCTTAGCTATCCACACTAAGGATTTTCCAACAAATTCACTAATTTGTTCTTTCTTTTGAGGCCAAAGAGATAACCTTACAACTCCCTCAAGAATATACCCCAATTCTTGAGAACACTCTTTCTCAAAGAGAAGATTATAAATTTGCAAACTTACAAGGAAATCCTCACAAGGTAGATTGTTTGCACAATTCTAGAATAAAGAAAAGAACACTCAAAAATGAATACGATTGAGTACAAGTAGTGTTCTTGAAAACAAAATGAATATTGAATGAAAAATAGGCTTGAAGTGCTCAAACAATGAGTTTGATGCTTTCTCTTTGATTTTCTCTTGATTCTAGTTTCTTGTTGTTTCTTGTTGTTGATCAATGGCTTCTAAGCTTGTTTAAATATCCTTCAATTGATTCTGAACGTTGGGGATGATTAGTGGAGTCAATAGAGTCGTTTAAGTGTGAAAACAATTAATAAAATCTGTTGGGAGCGTCAGTGCATCGATGCATACACAAGGTGCATCGGTGCATCAAGTGCAAAATTCAAATATTTTGACCGTTGGAACACTTAGTGCATCGGTGCACTAAGTGTGCATCGATGCATAAAATGCATTTGATGTTTCAAAATAGCCTGAGTGCATCAATGCATGTCTTGTGCATCGATGCATCAAATGCATTCGATGTTTTCATAAAACCATGAGTGCATCGATGCATGGTGTGTGCATTGATGCATAAAATGCATTCGATGTTCAATTTATTCATTGGTGCATCGATGCATGGATTGGTGCATCGGTGCATTCCTTTGAAAAATTGATTTTAGGCTTGATTTTGGTTCAAAATACTTTGTAAAAACTTATTTAAAAAATATATTAAGTATAACACACAATTTTACACATTTAGTAAAGTTCAAAATTGATCTTGAAAGACTTGGAGTAATAATTTGATATTCGATTAATTGAATCGAATATACTTATAAAAATCTTTGTAAAAATCTTAAAATTCATATATACTTAATTTGTTATATCGAAACATCAAAATGTTTTCAACAAGCTGAGTAAAGGACCCTTGCTGATGCCACCTCTGAAGTCTTGTGGATTAAGGATGTGCTGAATGAGATAAACGTTACACTGCCCGAAGAGCCCAAGGTGTGGTGTGACAACACCAGTGCAGTAGTTATGGCTGCAAACCTCATACTGCATGCGAAGAGCAAGCATATCGAGCTAGACTTACATTTTGTGCGTGAAAAGGTGGCAGCTCGTGAAGTTCAAATCAATTACGTGCCAACTAGTAGCCCAGTAGCATATATTCTAACAAAGCCTCTTCCCTTGCTCAAATTTGATTTGTTTAGAAGTAAATTGTGTTTTTTTGAGTTGAAGGAAGTTTGTAAGAAGCATGGTGAATGTTAAACCATATTCGGTTAAGCAGGTAGTCGGTTGTAGGTTAGTTATAACCAACCTTGCAGCAGCTCATTGATAGCTTTAAATAGCTGCACATCTCTGTAAACGAATTGTGAATACATGTTTCAAGTTTTAGCATTCTTTTTCTTGTTCATTCTTTCTAAGCTTCAACTATAGTTAACAAAGAGTTCTCGTTCTGTGATTCATTGTACTTGTGGGAGGTACGTTCAACACTCCTTTAATGCTAATGAATGATCGTTACGAAACATTTAGATGCATATTTTATTGAAGACGTTCCTGTGTTTATGGAATCCGTACTTCTATGTTTTGGCATTCTTCACAAGAATTTTACTCGTAAAGTCGCTTTGTATTGTTACCTAAACTTTCTGCAGATGATGTGGGCTCTCAAATACGATCCAGACTTATTTTATCTGTATGAGGAATCCGGATCAGAGACGGCTAAGGCTGAAGGTTCTAATAGAGTGAAACCGAAATCAACACGTCAGTGCGGGAAGTACGAGAGAGAAAACATGAAAATCAAAAGCTCTGATGCACCACTCCCAATCTCTGTTTTCCTTGTTGCAAGTGTCTTAAAAGATAAGAGCTCAAAGCTACTGCATGAAGCTCGGGGCCTCAACGAAGTAGTTAAGGTGAGCTTACGTGTTTGTAGGCTTTACTCTCCCATTAACGAGTACATCAGTCTATAAGATTAAGCAACGATATGCATTGGACCTACCAAAACCATGAAACATGAGCGAAAATGGCATGATGGACACACGAACATGTTGAATTTATAAAAACATTCCATACATTGTCTTAATGCTTTTATCTATCTTGTTTTTGTATCAGTATCTAAATGACATGACTGGGAATCTGGGTGCGAAGAAAGCTTGCATCGGGGCATTGAAACTTCATAAAAAATATTTGAAAAAGGTAACGCCTTTTTTGTTTCATTCTTCCATCTTCAGATACGCACCACGAGAGTCTGGATTGCATGTACATCTCAGTGTCGTTGATAAATGATTCATTCATGGGTAGCATTCATTCCTAAGTTCGGATCATAGTTTCATTCCTATGTCCGAATATATGTCGGACGCAGATACTGTAAAGAAAATGCAGCGTCTAGATGTGCACATAAATGTCGATGTCTGTTCGATTTGCTGATAACTCCATGAACTCTTCCATTTCATGTTGTGATTCAGGCCAAGAAGACATAACAATATGAATTTTTCAAGAACTCAGCCGAGGAAAACTTTTTCACGTCCGATGCTAAGATTTTGCAACGAACCCATGGTTCGGAGATTACCGATCTCTGTATACGAATGTCTTGTTGTATTTAGTAGATATCTGTGTGTGTTTATGATCATTCATTTCTCAGTGAAATACAGAAGAAAATAGCTGGTTATGTATAAACTCTTCATACCCTTTTCATAAGAAACAGAAATCACAGATTATCAAAATTTCATATCTAAAATACATTGTCTGAAAGAAAATTATAGTTCCAAAGAAACCCCAATTTCAAAGCAAAATTATTAACAGACATAAATTAGCAAAAGGAATGTAGATTTTATGGAACAAAAAATGAAGGAATCTTGAATATCCAACAAATATTGCACAAGATGAGCAGAAGATGGGGAAATCGACAATGAACATGAAATCTATCATTGAATTTGAACCCATTTCTTCTGGTACTTGAGATATATTCTTTTTTATCGAAAAAATCCCGTCACGAACACTTTGACGGCTTCCCATTTTGATTTGACTGCCAATGACATCAATTGGGCGAAAAAAAAAACGGAAGTTTCAGCATACAATGAGCATACCTTGTTTAAAGAACACTGTCGTCAACTCTCGTCATCTGAACTAGAACTATAGTCGCTCCTCCTCCGTTCAGCAATTGCAGAAAAAAGCTTCTGATGAGGATCGGGGGAAGTTGGTGCAAAACGGGACTCGGAGGAAGATGATGATGCATTGGACTCCTGCTTTTTATGTGCTTTTACCGGCTTTCTTGGGGCGTCTCTAACTTCTTTGCAAACCTTATCCAGAATTATCAGGAAGTCACGTACGATGACGAACAATCGTAAGCCCTCGTCCTTATGTGCTTTACCATGAAAATAATCGCCGGTGTTCTTCACCATTGCCATTATTCTCTTCTCTTCCTCGAGTAATGATGTGACGTCAACCTCTGCATTCTGGACAAAACTCTTTAAGGTTTCATGAAAACCACTTTCTTCCCTCAAATTTTTCATCTCCGAGTTCAAGAAATTCCGTGCTTTTAGGAGTCCATGACCAAGTTTGGCAGTGGTTCCTGTTAAGGTTTCGGCATCTATTGCTGCTGCTTTCTTGACATTTTCGAGTTCACTACTCAGACGAGAAACCACCTGAAGACCAAGTCCATGGTAGTGCTCTTCCGGATATGGGGAAACATCCTCAAGATCAACGGAACTTTTGTTTTCTCTCGCAATACGGGCAGCTTTCATGCCTTCGGTGCGTATAATTTCTTGGACGACAAAGTGCAATAGTGTGGTCTTCCCATCTACCCCTTTAACATCTGATAACTTCAAAAGTGTGTCGAGCTTGAAAGCTTGTGCACCACCACGGAATGTCCCATCATTCATGCGATTTCCGGTTTTAAGAACAGCTTCTAAAAGCTTGAGGAATAAGCGGCTACTTCTGAGCTCCTTGCAAGCAATCTGTCAAAATAGTTAAGACAGAATTCGATTGAATAAAACATATATTTTGTTGACCGTCTTAAAAAAATTCGAAAGACATTTTCGATCTAAATGTCGGTTGTGATTCATGCAAGTCATGCAAATTAAAATTAATGACCCACCTCTAATGTTTCGAAGGACTCTCTTGTGAAAGTAACCTCCTCATAAAGAGAGCACATGTAAACCAGGGTTTCCATTCGTTTAAAAGCAAAAGGGATGTCGACCAAAACTTTCAAGAACCGCTCGGCAGGACCGAGTTGCAAAATTTCACCATTGAACATTCTAATTTTGAGTTCTTCATCCGCTGTCGGAGCCATCTTCAATAAATTTTGAAGGAGATCAACAGGGAGCTCATTTCCTGATTTAAAACAACAGGTTAGAATATCATAATCGAAAACTTAACACATCAGTACTACCTTTTTTATGTCAGGAAAAATAACAAATATATAAGGAACAATGTAGTTATTTGGCTGTAAACAGCTCATGTTTCTAAAAGAGTTTAACGATCGAGATCATCTTAATATTTTTCTTTACAGAAATGAACAGAAAAGGCTTAGAAAAGCTCAGTCAGCATGTTCACTTCATTTTCCTCGACCTTAAATAGGATAGAGCGAGAGAAAAACTATTCTACCACATACGGTTAGCTTCAACGAGATGCAAATCTTTGGCATTCTTCAGGTATAAGGCTAAGATTAGTCATGGTAGATATATAAAAATTTGTAACTACGACTCTTTTCCAAAATGTACAATGTATGGCAAAGAAAGGAATCATCTTAGAGAGAAAATAGCGACGGATATGGTTCTCACAAGCACATATTTGACAGGACAAATAAGACGGAGGAAATCACCTTCACGAAGAGCATCACAAACTTCTTCTGTGGTCACATTCAACGCCCTCAAAAGGATTGCTAAATTTTGCGCCTTCTTGGGATCAAGGAGTTGAATATACTGAGGCACAGATTCCTGGGTAGAGGTCTCTTTCTTTTTATCATTTTTGTTCTTGTCAATGGCTGCATACCCAAACAGGGTTTCTATCATCTCCTCGTTGAACCTGAAAACATAGTAATAGTATAAATGTATCCAATATTGATCCATTGGCGTAAAGAATAAAGGAAAAAGGGTAAGAGAACTTTTTACGTACTGGAATGATCCAGATTTAATTTGATTCCAGACCATTGAATGTTCAGGGTTCGCTGCAACTTTATCCCAGAAAAATGGCTTCAATTTAGCTTTAGAAGTGTTGCCATCGTCTGCTGCGCCAGGTCCCTCGCCAGAGATAGCATTTGATGTTCGTTGTGGTCCGCTTGGCGGTCGAGGCACCTTGGGACCTAAAGGCATTGGTGGAGGTGGCCTGGGAGGTCCGAGACTGGTACCTGGTGGAGGTGGTGGTGGGCGAGGACCGGATTTAGCACCAGGAGGCATAGGTGGTGGAGGAGGTCGGGGGGCCATGGTGGCAGGAGGTTTCATAAAGGGATGTGGCACAGGAGAACTGGCACTAATGGGGGGAGGAGGTGGTGGAGGACTGGCTCTAATTGGGGCAGGAGGTTCCGGAGGAAGAGGATCTGCTCTGCCCGGAGAAGGCTTCAAAGGAGGATATACGGGTCGGGAAGCGCCTACCCTTCCTGGAGGCAGTGGTAGCGGTGGCTTAGTATTGCCTGATATATTAGAAGATCCAGCTGAGGCTATGGGGGCAGCAGCAACAGCTCCGAACGATGACTTCCCATCAAAGGAGAGTTGTTGGGCATTAGATTGAATATACACATCCCCATTAGTCGAGGCCTTTTTATGTGGGCTCGATTCGTTTCCAAACGATTGATGACCTAGCTTCTCTTCTTTATTAGTTCCAAAAGCATATGCATGAGAACCTGAAAAGAAAAAAAAACGTATCGATCAATAACTTTCCAAAAGCTTCTAGAAAACAAAAGTTCGTGGGAGAAAGTATATACCACCGGAGAATTCATTTAAGCTTAAACTGAGAAGGGGCCTCTCATCATTTTGTTTAGCTGAAGAACCGCTACGACAGCATAACAAGAAGAACAACGCTGCAGCAACAGATGTTACTACTGCAGTCACAACACAAGCAATAATAATTGTTCTACTGTTATCAGTCCCCTTGTGTCTCGGGTCCATGTTGGCTGGGCTTATATTGTTTGGAAGATCATTTATCGGACTTGCAGCTTCATTAGAAGGTATAGGGAAAAAAGAGGGCAAAGATGCCGGACTTTCTGGACTCAAACGAGGAAATTCAGAATTAGGAGAAGAGGCGGGAGCCGGGGATGGTCCTAAGTTCGAGGCAGGGGCTATGGCAATGCTCTCAGTAGCCAAAACCCTTCTAGGAGCTTCATGCCAGTGAAACAATGACTCGAAATATCTGGTGTACCCAGTCTTAAAGCCACTATCATCTCCAGATACTTGAAACGGAAGATTATTCTTTCTTATGCAGTCAGAAAGAGCTCGCTTTAACTCGGGATGGAGAAGGCTAATCAATTTTTGAACACTTGCTCCCTCTAATGAGTAACTTTGTGCAGTAATATCATTGGTTGTACGGGGTGTTTGCCCCAGAAGATACAAGTTCGGATCTTCAAAAGCTTCATTTAAATCGTTCAAATCTTGTCTGCAACTTATCCATAACAACTCAGCCTGCATGTAAACAATTGAATAATTTTAAACAAGGTTACAGCAAAGGGAAAGTGGGCTTTTCCCCTACTTCCTAAACCCGCAGAAACCAAAAGCATCTTAATGTTCTATCCTATTGACCGTGAAAATTAGAAGGTACCAATAGTTAATCTCATAAACTTTTAACCTTTTGTACAACGATCATAACATCAAATGTCATGTTCACTAATTGATGCAGCCAATATTCGATATCCGTGTCATTGTCATCCACAAATGATATAAGGTTTAAAACATAATCAAACACCTAATGTCTCTTCTACTACTCGAAAGTTCAGTATACACCAACGAGGCTCAAACTCGTAATTTTTCTTAAAGTAGAAATGTACGAAATCGAAACCCATGTTCAACGCGTTTTAGAACATAGGTACGGGAGCATGACCATTCCAAGACCCCTCAAATACATGAAAAGACTTATAAAGAAATGAACATAACCGTGTCAAACACTAACACCCGAATGTGAATAACACAGGTATGCACTATCAATCCATACATACAATACAAGCTACCAATATCATGAAAAAGTCTCTAGTTCTAGAAAATATTTCAATGCATTAATGCCTATTATGCCCACACATTTCCACCTCTAATGTTGGTTTTCGTTTTCCCAACTTCAAACCAAAACATATTCCTCGATACAAAAAACTACATGGAAATTTCTAATACTACTTCAATATCTCTAAGGTGGCGTTTGGTTCGCTGGAATGTTTCTGAGGGAATTAGAATCTGTAAAGGAATTGGAATCTGAAGGAATTGGAATCTGAATCTGAAACCTGTTTAGTTGGCAGGAAATTGAATTGGAATCCAATTTCATATTCTGTTTGGTTCGCAAACATGTCAGATGAATTTGATTTCAGTAATGTACCTTGTTTTTTTTTTGCTTAATTTTAGTTTGTTTTATAACTTACATGTAGCAATATATTATAAAGATTTTTTTAAAAAAATTAATTTTTCATTTTATTGATTGATTATTCATTATTATAAAAATCATACTAATAAACATCATAAGTTAAAATCATCTCAATTAGGATGGCCATAGGTCGGGTTTTTTGGTCCACCCGATCCGACTCGAGAACAAGGGAACCTCCACCCCAGACCCGACCAAAATAAAGTTTCACCCGACCCGACCCGACCCAACCCGAATATATGAATTAGAAACCCGACCCGAAATAATAAAAAAATTATTTTTATTCAATAAAAACAGTGACTTAATTGAAAAAAATTATATATAGAGGGGTATTATTGTAATTATTCCTAAATATAAGGTAAAATTATATATTTTTTTCGGGTCGGGTATTTTTCATCTTAAACCCGAACCCAACCCGAATATCACACTTAAAAAAACCCTACCCGTCCCGACCTGAATATCAAACTTAAAAAATCCAACCCGACCCGAATATCACACTTAAAAAAGCCTGACCCGAATATCAAACTTAAAAAACCCGACCCGAACCCGATTTTTTTTTAAAAAAATCCGACTCAAATACCAAAAGATTGATAAGGGTAATATGGTCAAATTTCACAGTCCCTCCTCTAAATGATTTCAATTCTATCATGTTATGGATATAATTTACTTTCCCTCCCTTGATAGAATTGATTTCAATTTCTCCTTTGAAAACTTGAACCAAACATGGGAAAATAATAGAATTGGATTTTAATTCCCCTAATTCCAAGGAATTCTAGTGAACCAAACGCCACCTAAATAATCAATGAAAGATCATTCATGTTACAAAGCCTAAAAATGCTTGAAATGAATATTGAAATATGGTTCCAAGATATCCCCAGGGTTTCGCTAAACAAGCTATCATCGATTTTCACTAGGGATAAGATTTTATAAGTTCGTCACGACCTAACATTTTATAAATTCACCCACTAACATAAGATTTTACGTCCGCCCTGATTTCTACCCAACAATAAAAGGCTAAAGCATAGTTTTCAAATACAAACTATTTGCCAATAAACAAACCTACAATTGTTTTCGTTCCATAAGCCGATATTGTTTGAGCAAATCAATTGCAGCCAATGAACATTAATGTAAAGACAAATCATTAAACTTTACCAGATTCTCATCAATCTCCCCAGTTGCTGGATCTACTAATTGATTAAGGAATGCTTCTTCTTCTCCAACCTTACTGTAATCTAAGCTAGAAGTCAATGATAAACAACAAAGCAGAGCTACCGAAAACACAAAACAAATTGTTCTTAAAAAACCCATCTTTTCCTTATATAATCAACACCATCACAAGCACAAAAAGGGTTCCTTTTCATTTGAGAAAATAACCCAAAACCATACCAAGTTCTATCATCCACATTCAAACTTCAAAACACTTGAAATCTGCTGGAAAAAACAAGCAGATTCTGCTGAAATACTTTGTGGAAGATCAAACAACAAAACCCAGAATTTGTTCTCCTTTGCAGAACTGAAAATATGGATCAATATCAAATCTTGAAACCAAGAAAGCTAGAAAGGGGCTGTATGATGAATAGAGAGGTTAAAAAGGCACTCAAAAGGGAATAGATTTCAAATTATTTTCTCTTCTTTAGTCATTGAAAGACCCCAAGATGTGAACACATGGAACACGACAAAGATGGGTGGTTTTATTATGGAATTTTTGACTGAATCATAATGGCAGGCAGGTCGTTGCATAGAAAATACTTATACGCCATGTAAAAAAGTTGACCATTAGGCAACATTTGCCTTTTAATTCTTGGGTAAACTACTCATCTAGTATCTTTGTTTTAGTATCCTAATTATTAGTTTTGATCAATTTTGGTATATAAACCTTTAATTTTTTTAAAATCATGCTTAACATTTAATTTTTATTTAATTTTAGTATCTCAATGTAAAAAAATTTAACATGTTTAGTACTTAAACTATCAGTTTTTATTTATTTTAGTACCTAAACTTATAATTTTTATAAAACTTAACATTAAATTTTGAACGAGTGTACTAAACTAAAAAAACTATTTTTTTAATGGTGGGATATTAAAATAAAATTAAAATTAAAATTTAAGTATAGTTCTAAAAAAATTGAAAGTTTAAGTGTTAAAACGAACCAAAATTGATAGTTTAAGTATTAAACTTATAATTTACCCTTAATTCTTAACCTGAACCATTAAGCTCGCAAAATAGGATCTTATTATTACCCTTAACCAAAATTGGTCTTTCCAATTTAGTTTTTTTTTTTTGTTCATGCTATTAAAGTTATAGTATTTAATATTATTTAAAGGATCTAATCAAAGATAAAAATATGACTAAATTATGTAAATTCAAAATAATAAAAAATTATTACGTATTTATCTAAAAAATTATAAGAGTAAAAATATAACTTATATTTAAACCGATAGACACTTAAATTATTATTAAACAAAACATTTTTTTAAAGAATTTCGTATCTAAATCTAATATCTCATATCAGTAGATTTATTAAGTAATAGTTCCTTTTGGACATTAAAACAAATTTTTTAAATAAATATATATATATATATATATAAGTATTTTTAGATTAATTTTGATTAATTTATTTCCTTCCTCGTATAAAAAATATTTTATCATCATTTTAAATTTAAATAGTTTTTCTAAAATTTATTTGATACAAAATTTAGAAAAATACATATGAAGAGTAAAATTATTAATTATAGATTTTCTCCATATTTTTAAAAAGAAGATTGAATTTTAATGAAAATTAAAATCACTCTTTATTTAGAAAAAATGAAAGTATTTTTCTAGAAAGAAAAGCAATGTTTTGAATGTTCGAGGAATGAAAGCGTCAAAAGTTGACCTAATTCCTTAGCAGCTTCCCAAGACAAATGCAAAGCAATTAAGCAAAGCAAATTGCATGACATATCCGGGTAAAATTTGGTCGCCAACGGCTAGGGGAGTAAACGAGCCGAGTCGAGTTCGACTTGACTCGAAAATTTTGAAATGGAGCTCGACTCGAAAACTCGCGAGCTTAAAATTTTCAAGCTCGACTCGAACTTGAAATCTTGAACTGAAGCTCGTGAGCAGCTCGAAATGAAAAAAAAAATTCTTAAACTTAAATCAATTAAAGCCTCAAACTTGAACTCGAACCTGAACCTTAAATATATGAAAATCTTATTGTATTTTTAAAAAATAATATATAAATGTTAATATTATTAATAATTTATTTTTAAAAAATAAAATCTTAATATATTATATTTTTCGAACTGCTTACGAGCTTTTCGAGTCCACTATCAAGTAGCTCATTTCGGCTCGTTAAGAACTCGAGTCAAGTCCATTCGATCCGAGTATTTATCGAGCCTTGATCAAATCGATCTTGAGTAACTCACGATCTGTCTCGTCTCATTTATAGCCCTACCAACGGCCACCGATGACGGCGGTGACACGGCGATCGACGAAGGGGTCAACTTTTTAGAGAAGCGAAATTCTCTAAAAATAAAAAAAATGAAAGAATTAAAAAAGGAAATTCGATAATTTTAAATCGAAAGTATATCCCATTTAATGACACGAATTAAATTGAATACATTTTAAAATTCGGAGATTGGGAAAAAATCATGTTCTCTTAATTAAATTCACCGAGAAAAAACTGTTAGATCGAATCTAAAGTCTCGTCTCGAGGTATTTAAATAACTGAACATCCTTATTCTCATTAAATATTAGTAAAATAAATAATTAATTATACTTGCTTAATATATGCTTTTAATTTGCTTTATTTTTGCATGTGTTTTCCAATGGGTTTTCAAAATAATAGCACTCGAATCAATAACTTTAAGGCGTAAGAGGTAATTTATTCTTAATTGAAAATAATTCGATATTACCGTTTCTCTCGAACCAATATTGATTTTTAGGACGGAATAATGATATTTATTCATTTCGATTGGAGCAATAAATGACTGCTTTAAGGTATGAGATATCATTTATTCTCGATTGGAAATCAATAGATATTATCATTTTCACTTGAATCGATATTGAATTTTATGAAATAGTGATATCTCTTCATTTTGATTGGAGTAATAAATGATTGCTTTAAGACATGAGAGGTCATTTATTCTCGATCATAAATAATTAGATATTATCATATTCTCTCTTATAATTCTTTTGCGTTGTTATTTTGAATTAATAATGAACTTTAGAATGAAATTTTTAATATTTCTTTATTTCAATTAGAGTAAGAATCGATTGCTTTAAGGTATAAGAGGTTAATTTTTCTCGAAATAATTAAATATACTTTTTCTCGAAATAATTAAATATCATTGTGTTTCGTCCTAAAATTCAAAGAGTATTACTTGTAGGGGATCTTAAATTAAATTAGGCTCGAACTCGTAAATTTCATTGCAAAGACAACTAATTAATCGTATAGGTACCGATTTAGGACGTTGTGGCGGTGCTAATTCTTCTCCACACGTAACAAACTCCCGAACTCAAATTTTGGAAACGCAGACCGCAAATTTGTTATTTTAATTAAAATTATTATTTTTATTAAAATGACAAATACTTTTTGGTGTCCAATCACACCCTAACCAAAGATTGGTGGCGACTCCTCGAACCACATTTTATCGTTAACCAGTCATCAAAAAATATTTCGAAACGAGACCCCTTCCCTCTTCAAAAAACCGTTTTGACAAGCTTTATAACTTATCGTCTACAAAATGACTGCGTTGAAAACATCACTTGCATGGTTGCTGCCATGTAGCAGCTGCATTAGAACAAATTTAGGTAATCAGAAACATCAAACCATCATACTGTTACTGGTAGCCTTATGCCTAATCACAATCAGCATTACCTGTTTCCAAGATTCATAAGACCTGTATAACCTGGTCTAAAAATTGGTTCACCATCCTGCCCACTTTCTTGAATTCTATCCCAATCAAAGTTGGTATTCTGGTCATTTCAGTCTGGAAACAGTCTCAGATTATAATTTCTAATCAGATAGCACTAACTCGATTATAAACACTTCATTCTACTTATTTTTTCCTTCTGGTAAGCTTTGAAACTTACATTCTATAATAATGATATCACTCGTTTTCCAGTCAAGCTATTGTCTGTCATGATTCATACAAATATTGGTGTACTCAATGTTTTGTTCATGGAAACTCCAAGCGCAATATATATTACAGATCTCAAGGCCGATGATGTTCATTTTTAGCGATAGTTATTATTCAAACATGGACAAAGTAAGAACAAGAATGAATTTGGTAGAGATAATAAACACAAAAGTACAGTTGCATAACAAAAATGAAATGCAACTACACTATCATATGCACATGTATCTTAAGGAAAACATTAAGTGGCAGATAATTAAACAGAAAAAAAAACTAACCTTTTGCAATGATGAGAAATCGATACCAAAATATGCCAAATGTTGTGCTAGAAGTGGGTCTATAACACTATCATCCTCTGGGTAAGAGAAAACATCTGCACTGCCACAATAAGTTCTGACAAATGTAAACACCAAAGCTAAAAAGATACATAATCAAAATTGCATTTCTGACTTTTCATTAACTGAGGGCAGATAGAGTTTATAACAATCGTGGACCAATCAAAACTTACTGAAAAGACGCTATAAACAAATACATAGACGGTGAAATACAAACAAGCATTACCTGCAGCTTCAAGATCAAAAGTAATTGTCCCAAGCTTTACGGCTATAGGATAGCCAGTCTCCTTGTAGTGCTCAACAGCGTGGTTGTTACCACCAGTTCCATCCCAATTTCTCCTCCCACAAAGGATCATTCCATCAGTACGATTTAGCCATAGATTATCTCTTTTATCACACTTAGCACATTTCCATCCAGATGGGGGAACAACAACATCGCCAATTTGCCGCAAATCAATTGCATATGCAACAATTGCATATGCACTTAATTGCCGCAAATCAATTGCATATGCACTTATTTGCTTCTTATTGGCTGTCCAGGCTGCAACTTGCTCCTTCAGTTCAGCACCCTCAGCCATTAAAATGGCATCAACTGCCAACCTTACCTATAATATCATATGGGATAAACAAGTCCGATTCTTGTCCAAGATGAAGAATTTGCACGTTTAGTTTGGAATTATTTAAAAATAAAAATGGAGACAATCCATACCTTCTCAGGCAATTCCACATAAGGAAAAGGAAAAGGAAAAGGAAAAGGAAAAGTTGAATAGCTATGTAAAATTACTATATCATGGGTCTTTTCATATTCCGGTTCATTGTTGTCAAATCCACCATCAATACCTATAAATAAAATTGCATATATTAATCAATACCAAAACAACAGATGATATTAAGACAATACAATCCTTCAAAAAGAACATTTGAACTTTTCGGACATTAACTTGTTTTTTCCATGGGTGAGAGTCGCGAACTCGAAAATTCTTGAAGACCGACGACGTAGCTCAGAAACATTGAAAAGCGACGATAGATGGACGACTTTCATAGACAATCTCAGCAGACGAGTCTCAAGAGGAGATCTCAGGGAGGTGTTCAATCAATACGGTAAGGTGATCCAAGTTTTCATTCCGAAATCGACTAAGAATCAAAGGTACAAGGGCTCCTGTATCATCACCTTCGACTCGGTTGCTGAGATGAAGGAAGCGTGGGAAAAGAAGGAAGAGGATTGGTCTTTCTGGTTCAAACATCTCTCTCCCATTAAGGATGCCTCAGGTATAGCTGCCACGTACTTCTTCTATCAACTGGTTGGGTCCCTCGGATTCTATGGCACGGAAAAATCTTTAGTGCTATTGGGAATAAGTGGGGAACTTATGTGGAATTGGACAAGGGATCACTAAAAAAGGAGGATCTCCATGTGCAAGGCTAGTCGTTCATGCAACTAGTTGGTTTGATATTTCATGCTTAGTTACCGTCCGGGCGGGAGGCAGATTGTATATTATGAAAATACTGGTGATTTATTCGCCGAGGGAGACGCCTAACCTTCCTTCTGAGGCGGGAAACGAAAAGTTTGTTGATATATGACAGATAGATGGCATTGAGGGCGCGAATCTGGTGAATCTAGACAGAGCTGATTCAGTTGCTCATCCATAGTAGGTGGTCGGAGTTACTTCGCCGGTTTGTAGCGCTATTCCAGAGAGGGGTCAGGATGACGTCGATCATTATTTAGGGGACAGTTCAGGTTTCGAGGGGCACGTGGCTGCTCGAGGTGTGCCTTTAATTTCCCTTGTGCATGGAGAAAATAATACCTCTGCTTCATCCGAGAATATTGGGGTGTGTTTTTCGAATATTGTGCTGCTTAATGAGATTGTCATAACGGATTAAGAGAGAAGGCTATCTGTGATGAAAGATAACCAGGTTGGTTTAGTTCATAGTTCATCTGGGCGAAACAGAATTGGGTATAGCTACCTCGGGTTGAGAGGATTGTTGGGCTTATCTGAATTGAGTTTCGAAAAAATTTATGGGATGGGTTTGGTGGGCTCATAGAGCTCCATTTGATAGGCCCTCGTGTGACCATTTCTCTCAAGTCGTTCAAGATACATTTCATGTTTACTCAAGGAACTGTGCTCCTGAAGGCGGTTATCAGGATAGTAGCTCAAAGTTAAATTAGAGATATTTTGGATTGGGAGGCTCGATATTTGGCTAATTCACGTGGTCAACTTTAAGAAGATAGCTCTGCAGAGGAGGCTGAAGCGGTTTGGAAAGTTGGCAATATTATTCAAATATCTTTTCTGAATGATTTCTTGGTTGCTTTTCCGTGGATTGTCCAAAAGGTGTTGCCGAAGTCTCTATATGATCATTGTGCTGTTATCCTTGAGGATCAAGCGAGGAATTGGGGAAAGAAGCCATTTAGATGCTTTAATTTTTGGATGGATGATCGAGGTTTTGTTCTTAATATCAGGTTTGTTGAAAGTCAACAATAATGGCTGAAATCGGTTGCTTTCGGTGCACACCAAAAATTATGGAAAATTTAGCTTGATTTTGTTGACATTTGAGAAATGGATAATTACATTTTAGTCTCTATACTTTAGGATATTTATAAGATTAGTCATTAAGCTTCAACTATAAATACCCTAACTCATTTAGCTTCAAAACCATCCCAAATCATTCTTGCTTTCTCCCAATACTAGATAATTTAGAGAGTTTCTTGAGAGTTATTTTCACTTTTTTTATCAAGAGAGAATTGTTATTGTTTTCACATTGTTAGATTAAGAGATGTTGTAATTCATATTTTCTCATAGGAAAATTCTTCTACCTTTGTTTTTGGTTTTTACCCTATATTATTTAGGGGTTTTCTACGTAAAATTTGTGTATTCTTTATTTTCATTTTTATTTTCTCAAATTATCAGTTGTGATTTTGCTCTATCCGATAGCCGTATTCCGCAACAATTGGTATCAATAGCCAGATCTAAGTGTGTAATGTCTACTTATTGTATTTGTGGTTGCCACCAAAAGGTGGATCATCCAACATAAGAAAGTAAGAAGGTATTACCCATTCTTTGAAGGTTCCAGAGAACTATTCACGATAGTAAAATAGTGGGAGCTATCCGTAATAGAAGCTATTGCAACGAAATTTGATATTGAAAAATTCAATAGGAGAAATTTCTCATTGTGGAAATTAAAGATGAAGGTCATCCTGAGGAAAGACGGTTGCTAGCAACTATCAATGAAAGGTCGGTAGATTTCACAGATGACAACAAATGGATCGAAATGGACGGAAATATTATGGCAAACTTTAATCTAGCATTAGCAGATGAAGTATTGTCAAGCATCGAGGAGAAGAAGACAACTAAGGAAATATGGGATCATCTCACCAAATTGTACGAGGCCACACCATTGCACAATAAAAATTTTCCTTAAGAGAAAATTGTACACTCTCCGGATGCCAGAATCTACTTTAGTGACAGAGCACTTAAACAAACTGAACACTTTATTTTCTTAGCTTACATCCTTAAGATGTACAATAGGAGAATAAGAATGTGCTGAACTTTTACTTCAAAGTTTACCTGATTTGTATGATCAACTCATCATCAACTTGAAAAACAGTAATGTCACAAGTCTAGTCTTCGATGACGTTGCAGCTACTATTCTACAAGAATAAAATTGGCACAAGAACAAGAAAGACAGACAAGTAAATCTGTAACAAGCAGAAGCGTTGACAACGATGAGAGGAAGATCAACAGAACGTGGCCAAAGCAGCAGTCACAAACATGGTAGATCGAAGTCGAGATGCAAGAAGAATTTAAAGTGCTACAACTGTGGAAAGAAGGGTCACTTGAAGAAGGATTATTGGAGTCTAAATAAAAACTCCAATCCACAAGGCAATACCAAAAACACTTCAGAAGATAGAGATGCTCTATGTTGTGAAGCGTCAACCACAGTGGAAGGTAGAAAAAGATTTGCAGATATATGACTCATTGATTCAGGAGCAACATATCACACGACCTCAGGAAGAGAATGATTCCATCATTATGAACCTGTCTCAGGAGGATCTGTGTATAGTTGCAATGATCATGCCTTAGAGATCGTTGGCGTGGGAACCATCAAATTGAAGATGTATGATGGAACAATTAAAGTTGTTCAAGATGTGCGGCACGTGAAAGGCTTGAAGAAAATTTTATTATCCTACGAATTGTTAGATAATAATGCAAGAAAGATTGAAACACGTAAAGGAATCATGAAGGTATTCCATGGAATGCTTGTGGTGATGAAAGGCGAAAAGATATCAACAAACTTGTATATGCTGAAGGGAGAAACTTTGCTAGAAGCAGAAGCCTCTGTTTCCTCATGTAGTTCAGATTTTACAATGATATGACATCAGAAACTCGGACACATGTCAGAACAAGGAATGAAAGTCCTTATGGAGCAAAAGCTACTTCCAGGCTTAACAAATGTATCACTTACTTTGTGTGATCATTGCATAACAAGTAAGCAGCACCGGTTGAAATTTAACACGTCAAATTCTAGAGGTAAAAGTGTTCTAGAATTGGTTCATTCTGACGTATGGCAAGCACCAGTTACATCCCTAGGCGGAGCAAAATACTTTGTCTAATTTATTGATGACTACTTCAGGAGATGTTGGGTGTACCCTATTAAGAAGAAGTCAGATGTGTTTTCAACTTTCAAAAACTTCAAAGTGCGGGTGGAACTTGATTCTGGAAATAAGATCAAGTGTTTCAAAACAGATAATGGAGGAGAATACACAAGTAAAGAATTTGATGACTTTTACAAGAAGGAATGCATCAAAAGATAGTTCACAGTGGCGAACACTCCTCAACAAAATGGAGTGGCAGAGCGGATGAACAAAACCTTGTTAGAAAGAACAAGAGCAATGTTGAGAGCTGCAGGCCTAGAAAAATCATTTTGGGTAGAAGCAGTCAATACCGCCTATTATTTAGTGAATCGAGCTCCATCAACTGCAATAGAGCTGAAGACACCAATGGAGATGTGGATTGGTAAACCAGCTGATTATTCAAACCTCAATGTATTTGAAAGTGTTATGTACGTGATGTACAACTCCCAAGAAATTTCAAAGCTGGATCCAAAATCCAGGAAATGCAAATTCTTGGGGTATACTGATGGTGTAAAGGGGTATCGCTTGTGGGAACCCACTACCCACAAAGTGATAATCAACAGGGATGTTATCTTTTAATAGAGGACGGTGAGCCATCAACATAACAGGAGGCAATAAACAGCTCAGATGTTTCACTGTGGATGATGGTGATGCAAGAAAAATTTAGAGCCCTTCATAAAAATAATACATGGGACCTTGTTCCACTACCACAAGGAAGATAGCCAATTGGTAACAAATGGGTCTTCAAAATCAAGCGAAATTATGACGATCAAGTTGAGAGGTATCGTGCAAGACTGGTGGTCAAAGGATATGCTCAAAAAGAAAGTATTGATTTCAATGAAATCTTTTCTCCTGTGGTTCGACTAACAACAGTTCGAGTAGTTTTGGCAATGTGTGCTACACTGAATTTACATCTAGACCAGCTAGATGTTAAAATAGTTTTTCTTCATGGAAATCTTGAAGAAGAGATCTACATGCTCCAGCCTGAAGCCGAACTTGGTTTGCAGGTTGAACAAATCTTTGTACGATCTAAAGCAGGAGTCGATGTGTTGGTATAAGATATTTGATTCTTTCATTATATGCCTTGGATAAAACAAACTTAATGCATACCTTTGTGCTTATTTCAAGAGGGTTGGTGATAACGATTTTATTATATTTCTATTATATGTGGATGACATGTTGGTTGCAGGACCCAACAAAGATCATATTGGAGAATTGAAGGCACAAATGGCTAGGGAATTTGAAATGAAGGACTTGGGATCAGCAAACAAGATTCTAGGGATGCAAATTCACCGAGACAGAAGTAATAGGAAGATTTGGCTTTAAC